CCCTCAGTGGAGATGCACTGCTTTTCTTCATGCGGAATCAGAATATTTAGTAGACTCTATGTTTCCGCTGCCTGTTTCTTTCTGGGCTTTCAGATCTTTGCATGCACCTTGTCACATACCCTCCTGCAGTATGTCCCTATAGTTCTGCACACGTTTTATTTGAACCAAGAAATCTTAGAACTGAACAGTCCAAAAAAAGGGGGGAGGGGGTGAAGCTTAAGCTGCAAAAGGGAATGTTTCCTAGTCAAGGGTGTGTGAATTAAAGAAGGCCATACTATTCCCTAAGGTGTGGAGATTTTTAGCGCTAATGGCCTGGCACAAGAGTTCAGTTATTCCTCACTAAGTTATCTTATCTAATGTATCTTATCTAGGCACAAGGATTAACTGTAGAGAGAGCACATGGGGACCCTGAATGTTCACATGTAGCCCATCTTCAGGGATTTACAGGGGAATGTGCAGAGCTTTCCTTGCATTGCATTGCTTTGCATTGCTTTGAAGCAATCAGTAGGGTAGGAGAGCTTCAAGTGGACAAGTGGATTAGAGCATCACAGATGAGCAAAACATAGAGAATGTTCTTGCTGTTAGGCTAGGCCGAAGAGTAGCATTGGCAAGGTTCATGTGTTGACTATTCTAATCTGGAGTAATAAAGCCAATTTCTGAAGAAAAAGCTCTGAAAATCTGGGAATAGTTGGTAGCTAGTCCTCACAGACTGTGCTAGAAAAAGGCAAGCTTGTGCAAAGTTCAGAACTTGCTTATATCAGGACTGCTCTATAGGAAAGAGAGTGCCCCATTCTTGGGGTGCTAGTGATAAGGTATGATAAAGGGTAGCTGTCCTGGTAGGGTTTTGGGAGGGCAAATGAACCAAGGTGATGTCAGAGCACCTCCTTCCCTGAGCAGCTGGGGACTTACCCCTATGCTGAGTCATGAAAAAAATCTGTGGCAGGGCTAATATCCAGCATAAACTGAATGACGGCCTCCCGTGGGATTCCCCCATCTTGCTGAATTGCCTTCTATACAGACATCTGCTCTGAGGTGAGGCAGCTGGACCTCCTCCACTGCTGGTGGAGCGGCAGCGTGGTAGTGCAACACGTTTTACCTTGCCCCAAACCAAACTTCTCAAATAAGAGCATTTTGCCAAATTATGCTCAAGAAGTCTCTATTTCTATGTGCTGACTATAAAGGGAGACCTGAGTGACTGTCCTCAAAATAGCTGTGTATGGTCCTGGGCCTGCTCTGCTGTTTGCCAGTCCTTGCTGGCAGGGCTGATCTGCATCTCTGAGCAGCTTTGGCAATAAACTATGTCTCTGTTCCTCCTGCTCATGCCTTTCTCAGGCTCAATCTTCAGCTGCAGAGGAAGAGCTTGAATGTCAGAGGTATCCCACGGCAGGGGCAGGAAGCACTTTCTGACGTGCTAAGCACTGTGCTTTGTCTGTCGTCACGCTTTCTAGAACTCATGTAAAGCTGAACCAGCTCAGGACTCTCCCTTCCCTAGTTATAAAAGCAGAGACTCATTTGTCTACCAGTCCTGACCCAGGCAGCATGGTAAGGTGCAACTCAGAAAACCTGTCTCCCTCTCATCTTAATAGCAATGGTCCGATTTTAGCCTTTGGAGCCATGGAAACCAGTCTTGCTCATCAGAAAACAGAAGTGACTCATTTCCAGCTTTCACTTCTCTCCTTGTTTGAATTTAATTTCTAATGAAACACTTGACGAATGCAATGTAAAATAGATGTGCCTAATGCCCAAGGGTCGCAGTGGGCTCTCAGGGTAGGTTACAGGAACTGTTCTGTTATGCAGGCAGTAGGATCTGAGGCAGAGAGAACTTGTAGGGCTTTTTCCTGCCTGCAGATCCCTTCTCTTACATAGAAAGTCAGAGCTGCTCTATATAAGAAATAGGGCATGCACCTATTTGCCATGCACTTATATCCCATTTGATTTCTCTTCACATTTTCAGTGAATCTGAGCCCATGGGGGCTTAGTTTCCTACTAATGGCTGAGGTCAAGGCCATGGCACTGTGTCAGATTGCAAGATTGCCCCAAAGCTGTGTTTAGCATAGAGGCTTCAAAGTAACACAAGATGCTCTTATGCTTGGGTGTCATGCAGAGAAAGAACCTGGCTTCTAGGCAGAATCTTTTATTTCCTCTGTCTGAGAGATTAAAGCTTTCTTGGTAGATTTCCACTGCATAATAATTGAGAAAACTTTTTATTGACTCATACATCTCCTTTCTAGTATTAATATCCAGACTCTAGAATTAGCCCAATTTTTTAATTCATTTTTTATAAAAATACCTTGATTATCTGCTGCCAAAGCTGCTATCAAAGAAGATATAGGTGTAAAGATTACTTTGTCTTTTTATCTGCAGCTTCAAGGTACAAGCTAAAAATATCCCTGACAATGAACTGTAATTAGAAACACTCCTAGCAGCTCATGTAATACAAGGAATGATGATATCTCTTTTATTTTTTCTTTTTTTTTCTTTTCTTTCTTTTCTTCTTACTTTTCTTTTCTCTCTCTCTCTCCCCCTCTCTTATTTTTTCTTTTGTACTGGCTCCACTAGTGACAATCACCATTTCCAACAAACTCTTCTTTGTGGTACCAAGTGAAAAGACAAGAGGCATTGGATACAAACTGAAATACAAGAAGTTCCATTTAATCATGAGAAAAAATACTGTAAAGAAGGGCAGTTATACCCTGGAACAGGTTACCAAGGTGGAGATTCTACTCCTGGAGACATCTAAAACCCAACTGGACACAGATCTGAGCAAACTGCTCTAGGTGACTGTGCTTTGAGTAAGGGGGATTCGGCATGATCTCCAGAGATTCTTTCCAGGTTGAACCAATCTGTGATTCTGGGACCAGTCAATACACTCGAGGGCAAGACTGACATCTAGAGCGACCAAGACATGGTGGAGGAATGAAGCTGATAATAGCCTTATGAAATTCAACAAGGACAACTGCAAAATCCTGCCCCTGGGCAGAACAAGGCCCTGGCAGTGTTACATGCTTGGTACTGAAAAGGCCCTGGGGAGCCTATAGGCAGTGAACTGAGAGCGGACCAGCCATGTGCCCGAGGAGGAACGAGGGCCAACAACACCCAAGGCAGTATGAGCAGGGGCATGGGCAGGAGACTGAGAGAAGTGGTTATTCCCCACTGCTCAGCACTTGTTAAATCAGACCACACTGAGATTTTATGGCCAGTTCTGGGCTCCCCAGTACAGTTGTACTGGCTCCCCACTACAACTTGCCTGAAGCAAGTTCAGCATAGCCTACCAAGGTGCTTGGAGCCTGGATCAGTTGTCCTTTGAGGAGAGACTGAGAGATCAGGGCTTATTCAGCTGAGAGGAGAGACTTCTTTGGAGAAATCTCCCAGCAGCCTCCCCACTGAGGTACCTGTAGGAAAGTCTTTGAGGAGACAGAGCTGGGCTCTTTGCAGAAGTGCATGGTTGGAAGGCAAGAAGAAATGGGCATACATTTGAAATTAGAGGGTTTGGATATTGTGGAAAAACACCTCCCTGTGAGGACAGTCAGGCAGTGGGACACGTTGCCTGGAGAAGTTATGCCATCTCCATCCTCAGAGGCTTTCAAGATCCGACTAGACAAAGCCCTGAGCAACCTGGTCTGATCCCATGGCTGACCTTGTTTGAGCAGGAGGTTGGACCTGAGACTTCCTGAGGTCCCTTCCAAATTGATTGTCCTATGATCCTATGATATTACTCTGCTATGAGACATGCTGTCCATCAAAGCCTTTCACTTTACTTTTAACTCTTATTTCAGTCCTTTTCCTCTACACGTACAAGTGAGTCACTTGTTTTCAAGGCCCAATTGAGACATTCTAGGGTGAATTCTGCTTGATTTAGGGCACCTCATTCAACAAACTGTGAGTACGACTTCATGCTGCTCAGTTAGTGACATGGTTTGCCTTAAGATTGAGTGCGACATCAGTGATGCACAGAAATTTTATTGGTTCCTTGACTAGTCTGAATTTCACCCAAGGAGAAAGTCCCTTTAGTCATTATTTGACCGAGTGGAATGAAGCTAAAATAAGATAATATAAAAGTGGAGTGAACTGATAAAGAACTTCACTGCCAGTGACATAAAATAAACTCAGAAGCTCATGTTATTTAGCTAAGCACCTGGTTCTTTTTTTCTTTTTTTTTTTCAGATATTTTTGGTTAGGAAAGAAAGTAATGTGAAGAACATGGTCCTTGCAGTCCGCCTGCCAGCCCAAAATGAGGCTCCTGATGTGCTGGAGTATAATATTAAAGAAGAAAAATCGAGTAAGTTCTCTACAAGCTTTTTTCTCTTGTTCTAATTAGACTTCTTTTTTTGATCACCAAGTACTTATGTAATCTTGCTTGAAATGAGACTGTTCCTCTAATGACTGGCAGCAGATCTTGATTTTCCAGTGTAGCTTGGTTAATATTTCCTGCGGCTGCTTTACCTCAGTTCCCCCACGGTTCTGCACCTTGTCATTTGCAGATATGCAGTGCAAACTTTTTGCCACAACTTTATGTGTTAAGATTAAGAAAGAATTTATATGTTAAGATTAAGGAAAAAAAATCTTCTTCTTTATTTTAAGTTGGCCTACAGTTTAGGTGTTGCACAGTACAGCAAAAAATACTTTTTGACTAATTGAGTTTTTCTTTGGGGATAAAAGTTGAGAATTTGATTTCTGCCCACCTAAAAATATCATTTATAGAAATTTGCTGCTTTATCTTGTGCATAAAATCTGATTCTTTAGAATACAGGCAAAGTAAAATATGGTACAAAAATTTTGATATGAGTTAGCCTAACTAGAAAGGTTTTGTGGCACATTTCTCAAACTAATTTGCTTGCTATTTCTCTTCATGAACTTAACACAAAGCACGTGTCCAGAGGTGTGGCTTTCTAATAGGAACAGAAATTAAATCAATTTACAGCATATTTAGACCAGCTGCAAAATAAGTGGGGCAGAATAATTAAAAAACAGGTTCTGTTAAACAAAGAAAAAGAGAGAGAGAAATGCCACCTTATGTGAAGAGGTTCCTGCAGCCATGAAGATGGTACATTCCTATCATGGACATTCACATTATTTTTAGCTTGAGTCCTGGCACTGTTGAGCTGTAGATAGCGTCTCAGTTCTCCACACTGCTCTGTTTAACAGTAACACAGTGGGTCATGCTTTTGCTTGCTTTCTCATTTAGGGTAAGTAGCCTGGCTTTTGAATTTAGATGATACTGAGTGAATTCTTGTTAGTAAAGCCAAAGGACTGTACCTGTTGCAGGTGAGATAGATAGTAAAATTTTGATGTGTCCGATAAATCTGCAAGATTAACTTTGATTTATTTTCTCTGCATAATTCTAACTCCTTTCTAAACTTTCTTAGGAAAGAAAATTATATGTTGTCAGAACACATTAAGAGATTGTAAACTAAAATCTGAGTTTCTTTTTTAAATACTATGGTAAATTTGGATTGCGTTAGCTTATTAAAGTCTGCTTCACACTCCACTGGTATAATGTAAGTCTAAATTTAGGATACTTCTGAATACATGTGCTGGGTAACTGTAGATCAAAGATGTTATGTTGCCAGAGAATGCATGTTTACTGAAAATGCAGTGTTATTCCTCCTGAAGGTGTGTAAAATATGCCAGCTATATGGCATGAAGACTGTGGTAGCCTGCCAGGGTTTTCTTGAGCATCACATCCAGTCTTTAATCTCAAAAAGTCCCTTCTCAGTTTTTCTGATCCTACAGAAAGGAGGCTTCAGGCTCCCACTGAAGATCACAAACTGGGAAGTGAATTCTCTTGGTTGCTACCTCCTAAATGCAGCAGTGCTTGTCCCCCTCTGGTTTTTGAAAGGATTAGTTGTAATTCCTGTGCTGTTGGACCCTCTGAACGCCTGTCCCTAGCTGTGCTGGGAACTAGACGTTTTGGTTTGCTGGTCTATTCCTAAGACTTCCTTCCTCACTTGGCACGTAAGCAAGGATCTGTATTACCAGCCCCCTGGAGTCCCTTTTTGACGGCTGACTCCTTCTAAAGAGTACGAAAAAGCAGGAACAGATTTTTCTCTCTGTTGCATCTGTAACTCCATAGATTTGATTGTTCTCAGCAGGATGTTTTCAGGTGCAAGTTGAAAGCTGAATTTGCTTTGACATATGTACAGTTCTGATTTTACAGAAATCCTCCCTCCCAGTTAAAATTCAAATCACAACCCATCCCAGCTTTCTATTTTGGAGCACCTTGCCAGTTATTCCTTGCTCTCCTCATGGAGACCAAGTGCAGTCACAGCTTCACAGGTGACATGAAGAAGCACATATCCTTTAAGCCATATCCTTTAAGAGCCACAGGCTCAGTGACATGATGGTTCTGGGTCCATCTCTTTCTTTTACCATATGCATCAAGTTTTACTCCTCAACTTTTTATAAAAAGCCTCATCTCATGCTGCTTATCCAAGGGTATGTGAGGAAGTTTTCCACAGTATCCTAATGATGTTATTTTGGGTTACTGTCCAACCTCTGAGATCCATATAGGAATGTCCATTCACTGAAGCATAAAAGAGGAAGTTCTCTAGCTCCACTGAATAAGAGTGGATCATTGTTTTTCTCTTTCTTTTCCCCATCTCTGATTTGCCTTGTTGACATTTGATGTAACGTTTAGGGAAGTATAATTTCTGAGACGATTTAACCGTGATTTTTTTTAACTTCTCAAAGAACTTACTAGGTAAAAAAAAAATCAAGAAATTAAAACTCTTCTTTTTTTTTTTCCATGGGAGTTTTAATGTGTTTCATGAAGTAGGCCTTCAAGTCATGAAACAGTAAAAAAAGAGGTTGAATTTTAAAAATTACCTTCTGTTTCTTCCTTGTGCATTCTTGATTTTGCTTCTCCACCTGAAGAATTGCATACCTCCCACTCAGATTCACCACAACACTGCAAATCTTCCAGAAAGAGGGCATGTTACAAGATTTCCTCCATTTAGAGATGTAAGTCTTGGAGGATATCTCTCAAGCTCTCCTAAAGTTTAAACTACTTTGGGTACTCTCGATTCTAATAGCATGCCGTTACTTCTGCCTATTTTCAAACCTGAGCTGTAACCTCAAATCACTCAAGATCTGAACACTACTTCCTTAGCTAAGTTTTAGCCTGTAATTTCATTTGTTCAAATTCTCTTCTCAAATAACAAGTCCTAACCTCAGATCCTGATTCTCCTTCCCCTTTATCTGTACAGAAAATACTCTACTGCCATCTGTGATATTGCAGCAGTACTAAAAAAGAAACAAATCTGGTGTAAACGTGCATGAATATGTTAATGAGATGTTGAACTAAAATATATTGAGAGTTCAGTGGAAGCAGCTGACAGTGATAGATCAATTGGTGTAGACAGTGATAGTAATATTTACTAGTCCTATAAACACCAACAGCCACAAATACTTGTGTCACAAAAGTAAGGTCCTTTAATTGAAGAATGTTCTAATATCATATATTAAGCTTAACTCTTCATTTTCCTTGGAAATCTTATCAATAATAGTTGAAATTAATTTGATTTCATGAAATACGTGAGCTCACCATACATATCTCTGGACTGCTGCACATATGCTTTGGTGTGCAGTGAGTAGTAATCGTTTTTCCCCTCTTCTATACCAAGAAAAAGAGGATGTGATTCTTCAACAAATACACAGATTGAAGGGTAAACAGGAGCAATAATTACAACTGAACAGAGTAAACATCATGCTATTATTTTTATAGAAATAACTATAGAACTAATTTGCCAAATCAACCAGTACTGAATATTGATTGCTGGATGGTAAAGTGAGATAACACCATGTAAAAATTACACTACCGCTCTGTGGTAGCCTAACCACAGGCTCCAGCACAGAGCGGAGTAGCTCCGACTGACTCCATGGGGGCCCCTCTAACTTATTTTCTTATGCAACCTCTTTGAATCACCAGGATCACAGAATGGTTGGTGTTGGAAGGGATCGCTGGAGATCATCTACTCAAAGACCCCTGCACAAGCAGGGTCACTAGAGCATATTGCACAGGATTGTGTTCAGGCAGGTTTTAAGTATTTCAGAAAATGAGACTCCACAGCCTTTCTGGGCAACCTGTTCCAGTGCTCAGTCATCCCCACGGTCAAGAAGTTTTCCCCAAATTCAGGCAGAACTTCCTGTGCTTCTGTTTGTACCAGTTGCCTCTTGTCCTGTTGCTGACCCCATCCTCCTGACACTCTCCCTTACGATATTTGTGTACACTCATAAGATTCCCTCTCAGTCTTCTCCAGGCTAAACTTGTCCAGCTCTGTCGGCCTTTTCTCACAGGGAAATAGGTGCTCCCCTAATCATCTTGTAGCCCTACACTGGACTCTTTCCAGCAGATCCGTATCTCTCTTGTATTGGGGAGCCCAGAATTGGACATGGTACTACAGGTGCGGCCTCACCAGAGCTGATCCTGTGCTACTTCCCCTGAATTTCCCGTGTGGTCCTCCATAGAGAGGGATTCTGGAGACTCAGGTAATCAAACATAATAAACTGTAGTAAGCACAACTTAGCAAAGAATTACCCATTTTGGTTCCTCCGTCTGCTCCTGTAATCCTGGTACATGACTTCAAAGCTACCCAGGGGTAGAAGTGATGCAAGGTTGGAACCTCGATATTTAAAGTTAAATTTAAACAGCTATTTTTTTTCAGTCTTTATCCATATTGACACCAACTACTGAAAATTGCTCACTGAGCCTTCCCTTAAAAAAAACTTTACTGCGGCACATTTTCCTCTGGGACCACAGGTAGAAGAAGCAGGTGTTGAAGCTGTTGCTGTGGTGACCCTTGGCTGCAAAAATTTATCGCCCTTGAAATCTGTATTAGCTTCTTTCCCCCTGCATTTGTTAACTTTCTGCTTCCAGTTCCAGGGTTTCAGTGCCATCATTATCAGCCCTGCTTGTCACATTGCCCTCCAAGTGATTCATTATTTTCTTCTTTTTCCCTCATCCACTTTCTGGCTTAGCTGCTTGTGTTTTAAAAACATCTTTATCACTATTATTGTATTTCATGCCTGTTTGATAGTAGGACTCTGTTGTCAAGCACGGTGCTTCACAGGGGACAGTCCTGTAAGAAAGCTCTGAGTTTATTCAGGCTTTAGCTGACAGTTTGTCTCCTGTTTTTTGCTTGGGACATGGAGTAAAATCTTAAGCGCTCCATGACAATAAAAGCAGAATTCCTTCCTTTGTTTTTGTTACTTCTCTATTAATATATGATGCTGAGGATGAATAATCCACTCTGAAGATGAAAGTTCTTGTTTCTGTCATAG